GCTGGCGGCTCCGTGTCCCCGGGGATCCCGGGGGGGGTGACAGCGTGTGACACCCCCTCCTCTGGCTCCCCCCCGACCCCGAGACCCCCTCGGTGCTCCCCAAAATGGGAGGGGGGGCGGGGGGGTTGTTACATAAACAGCGCGGGCTCCATTTCCCGCTGCCTGGCCAAGGCGCGATGCGACGCGGATGGGGCTGCGGGCACGGAGGTGGCGATTTGGGGGGGTTCCGGAGCTGTGCTCCTTTTGGGGAGCTCTGTCCCTTTTGGGGGGCTCCGGAGCCGTGTCCCTGTGTCCTTCTTGGGGTTCTCTAGAGCTGCGAGCCACCACCCTGAGCAGGAGGCGAGTTGTGTTTGTTTTGGGGGGCTCTGTGCCTTTTGGGGTTCTCTAGAGCTCTGTCCCCACCGTGGACAGGATTAGGGTCTGTCCGTCTTGGGGGGCTCTAGAGCTGTGTGTCCGTCTGTCCCTTTTGGGGAGCTGTGTCTTTTCTTGGGGGCTCTGTGCCTTTTGGGGAGCTGTGTTTGTTTTGGGGGGCTCTGTGCCTTTTGGGGTCTCTAGAGCTGTGTCCCCACCCTGGGCAGGAATGGGGCTGTGTCTGTTTGGGGATCTCTAGAGCTGTGTGTCCGTCTGTCCCTTTTGGGGAGCTGTGTCTTTTCTTGGGGGCTCTGTGCCTTTTGGGGTCTCTAGAGCTGTGTCCCCACGCTGGGCAGGAATGGGGCTGTGTCTGTTTGGGGATCTCTAGAGCTTTGTGTCCATCTGTCCCTTTTGAGGAGCTGTGTCCGTTTTAGGGATCTCTAGAGCTGTGTCCTCACCGTGGGTAGGAATCAGGCTGCGTCTGTTTTGGGGGGATCTGTTCCTTTTGGGGGGCTCTGGAGCCGTGTCCCTGTGTCCTTCTTGGGGTTCTCTAGAGCTGCGAGCCACCACCCTGAGCAGGAGGGGAGCTGTGTTTGTTTTGGGGGGCTCTGTGCCCTTTGGGGGTCTCTAGAGCTGTGTGTCCATCTGTCCCTTTTGGGGAGCTGTGTCTTTTCTTGGGGGCTCTGTGCCTTTTGGGGAGCTGCGTCCGTTTTGGGGGACTTTGTCCCTCTTGGGGGACTCTAGAGCTGTGTGTTCATCTGTCCCTTTTCGGGAACTGTGTCTGTTTCAGGGGCTGTGTCCCTTTTGGGGGTCTCTAGAGCTGTGTGTCTGTCGGTCCCTTTTGGGGAGCTATCTCTTTTTTTAGGGGGTTCTGTGCCTTTTGGGGAGCTGTGTCCATTTTGTGGGGCCTTGTCCATTTTGTAGGGCTCTAGACCTGTGTCCCCACCCCAAGCAGGAATGGGGCTCTGTCCCTTTTGGGGGGCTCTGTCCCTTTAAGGGTCTCTAGAGCTGTTCCCTCACTTGGGACAGGAATGGGCCTGAGTCTGCTTTAGGGGCTCTGTCCCTTTTTGGGGGGCTCTATCCCTTCTGGGGGTCTCCAGAGCCATGCCCCCA